ACTTTCATTAAATAACCAAAAAATGTTAGATTAATAAAAAATTTAACTTCAAATAGTCAGAAATACTGATTTTTATATTTTATATATAATATAGATTTTATTAATACAAATTCTCCTTCTTTTATGAATTGTTAATTAAATTGATTCTTTTATATATATTATAATAATTAGATTAGTAAACTTTTAAATTTATTTGATATTATACTATAGTTTATTTATATTTGTAAACATAAATTAAAAAGATTAGTAGATTCTTTATTAATTTATAAACTTCTTTATACAAAGTTTTTTTTATTTCTAATAATATTAAAAAATTATATAATTCAATTAATTAATTATTATATATAATTACAAGTAATTTTACAAAAATTGACTAATTATATAATATTTTTTAAATATAAGCATGCCTTTTGGCTATATGACATGTCTTATGTCTTTATACCCTAAACTCTGTTAGTAATTTATTTACAAGATTTTTTTTAGCATGTAACTATAACTAATTAAATTAAAGAATTAGATGTAATATAAAAATTACATCTTTTTAAAAAATTGCTATTAAAGATAAATAATTTAAATCACAATGCTTTAAATCAATTTAAGATTAATTTAAAATAATTTTTTTTGTAATTTAAATTATTGTTACTAATATTGACATTATGATTAATAATATCATAATTAGTAATACTAATATAGTTATATAATTAATAATACTAATTTATATAATATTATTTAATTAAGTTATATGCTATATAATATTTCTAACCAAATAAGAATAACCTGGCTAAAAAAGTCAAAATTGTCAGATCAAACTAAAATATAGGAAAAATTTTTTTTAATTAAAAGAATAAAGTAAATAAATTAGTCAGTAATAAAGAAAATACTAATATAGTCATAATTATTATAAACTTAGACAATGTTAATATAAAACAAAAAAATATATATAGTAAATTATTCTTATAAATAAAGGCTATAAAGGCTTTAATAAAAAAAAGACCTATTTTTGGCTTTATTAAAATAATAACTGGCCTCTTATATAATAATAAATATATAAACATCTCATTTCTATATTAAATAATTACTAAGTTTTCAGATTATAAAAACCTGCTTTTTGAAATTATCTATTCTAACTTATAATATTGTTATACTTCTATCTAGCTGTTGCATTCTAAAGTACCATAATTAGCTATGATTACCTAAGTTTAACTATCTAAAAAAGTGTGATAGTTAAGATATACTAGTTGTTCAATTATCTAAAATAGTAAGATAATTGAGAATTAAAGTTAGTAGACAGCTCAAGAAAGAAAAACCATAGTACAAATAAAAAGAAATACTTATCTACAAATTTAAACTACTGACCAAATCTAAACATCTTTTTTTGACTAAGCTAACTATAGGTTATATAAAGTTTTGAATTATAAAGTAACTAACTTACTGTTATTTTTTTCATTATTAATAAAAAAATAAGTATATTTTTTAATTATGATATATGAATTAAACTTGCTAATTATAGTACTAATTAATTAAATAATTATTTAATAAAATGTAAAAACTTTTAAAACATATAAAAAATTCTAAAATACAAAATAATTCTTTTGACTTAAATTTAGAAGACTTTAAAATAAAGCTATTTAATTATAAAGAAGCAGATATAGCATTATTAAAATTTTTTTATTTGGCTGATATTATTTTTATAATAATTAAAAATATTTTTTGACATTAGTTTATAAAGATTATACAACTAGTTTATATTAGTCTAAACTATTAAAATTTGATTAATAATTTACTAGATAAGGAATTTTAGATTAAACAACAGAATTTAAATAAAATATTAGAAAATGCATCAGCTATTAACTTAATTTCAGATAAAAAACTAAACATTTAACAGAAATCAGTTTTAAATTTTATTTTATGATTTCCTAATACTAAACCTATATTGTATAATATTAAATATACAGGTTCTGAGTTCTATATAACAAAATATATATATAATAAAATCAAATCTATTATTAAAACAATTAAGGTATCTAAATCTGCTAGTATTGTAACTGATAATGCAAATACAATGCATGCTGCTTGGAAATGATTAAATTAGGATTATCTAAAACTAATCTGTTTTGGATGTAATGCACATATCAGAAATCTATTAGTTAAAAATATTCTTAAACTTGAAAAAATAGACAAATTATAACTAAGTAAAATAAATAATTAATTTTTTATTTATATTAAAAAGAAGAAACTATTTTATTAAGTCAATAAAACACAATAAGCTTAGTTTAACTAAGTAATACTTGTTAAAAAACTTGACTTGCTTCTATTCAATCTATTTATAAAAATAAATTAGAACTTCAAATATTAGTTATACAATATAAAATTAGTAGTAAAATAGATAATAATCTCTATGATCAGATTTTAGATAATAAAGATTTAAATACATTAGTATCTGTTTTAAAACTATTTATTAAACTTATATTCTTGTTTGAATCTGATATGCTTTTACTTTTTTATAGATATTATAAAAAGCAAAATCTCTGTGAATTTATTAATGCTTAAACTTAAATTTAGACAATAAATTATATATCATTTTTTTAATTAACAAATATATTAAATTTGCTTTCTATTTTATAATAATAATCATAAACCTTTTGGTTCTTAAATAATTTTTATATACTAATATATGTATTATAGTATATAATTTATAATTATTATATATTAATAATAAAATTTTATATATATTTAGATTTTGTAGCAAGTTTTTGAAGTTTAATAATTTTAAAATAATTATTATACCTTATCTTAAAAAAGTTTATATGTCTAAATTAGTAATATATATAAGGATTATCTTTTAGTTACAATAATACTGTATTATCAATATTAATGTAACTTTTTATTTATAAAAATTTATAAAATTATATAAAAATATATTACCAAATCAGGTAAAATTTTAAAAACTATATTCTAAGCATCTGTCAAATATTCAAATTCTGTTAGTTAATAGAAATACAATTTTACAAATAAATTTTCTACTACAGTTAAACTTTCTTGTTGAGTTTTCTCAATTTTAATTCTTTCAGCTGCAGCTAAACATAACTGATCTAATTTCAGGTTTATTTACAATAAGAATTGAGTATATTTAAGTAATAATCAAATAAAAAAACTCATATCTGATTATTAAAATTTAAGAATTCAAATAAATATTAATGATAATAAATAGTTTGAGAAGGATTAAAATAAATTTACAACAATTTATAAGAATTTAAAATAATATAAAAAAGAAAAAATTTTCATTAAACATTATATAGTAATAAATTTGTTACAATATTTGTATATAGCAACTTAGATGCAATTTAAATATGCATTTTTTTTTGTTCTTTAAATAAAATGAATTAATCATATTATAATTTACCAATTTAATTATTTGAATATATGAATAGTTTTTTTTATCTTTACTTCTAATATAAATCAAAATGAAAATATTTATATAATTTATTAATAAAAAATAAAATATTGCAGTAACATAAAGTTAAACTAACTAATCAGATACAGTAATTTAGCTATAGCCATTAGTACTATAATTACTGATGATTTAAAGCATTTTATTAAATCTAGTTAAAAATCAAAAATTATTAAAAATTGATTTTTCATTATCTCTAATCACTAATAACTTGAAATTTTATTTATGAAACTGCCTTCTGCATTTTAATAAAAAAATTCTTCATTAAATTTTAGTGTAAGTTATGACCTTCCTTATCTTTAATTCTAACTCTAAAGATAATACTTATTACTTTAAAAACTTTTGTTTAATTTTATTGTTTTTGATTTACATTACATCTAATTTTTCAATCTAATTATCTAAAAATTACATGCCAGAAAATATCTTGGGTGAGCTTCTAATATCACACTAATCTATGCTATCATGTTTTGCATTTTTTATAAGATGACATCTCAGATTGTCTATTATTATAAAAAGATTTGAACTTAAGATAAATTTTTTAGAAGATAAAATTTTATAATTGTTATTTTAGATTGTTCTTAATTAGTCTTTGAACATAATAATTTAATTTGGTTTTAGCACTGTAAATATTTTTTACATTAATTTCTTTTTCATTCATTGTAACAGCTAAAGCTGAGATTGACTGAAGCTGAGATTGACTGAAGCTGAGATTTTGAAATATTTTAATATTGAATTTAAAAAATTTTTTAGGTCTTTTTTGGTAGCTTTTTTTTTAGAGTTGAATTAGAGTTTAGAGGTAGTTTAATTAATAAAAGAGTACAAATGAATTTTAGTAGCATTATAGATTTAAATAGAGACCTCCCAATTTTAACTTTAGACAACCTTATCTTCATCTGTCACATTCATTATTTTGAATAATATAACATCTTGTGCAGAATTTGGGTTGTTGATCTAACATAATTGAACAACTTATCATTATAAAATAAGGTTTTGTTGATATAAATGTGCTAATAAACAAAAAAAAATAATTTTAAATAAATATAAAACTGTAAGCATAGTTATTATTTTAAACCAAAACATGTTTGTAAACTTTGAAACAAACTTTAATCAAACTTTATAAAATATGTTTAAGTTTAGTTTGAGTTTGATAATTTGTATTTGATTTGATTTCAAATTTATTTTAATCAAATTCAAACTAATTATATCAAACTTTAGAACCCTAAAAAAAGGTTTTGATGGCAATAATTGCACACAAGTTAATAATTTGAAACATCCCGCAGAAGATGATTTAGCTAAATGGAATTTATACGATTTATTTATGACTTGGAAATTCCAGATTATTTTAATATGTTGTAAAGATTTTTTTTTATATTAACACTTTTTTTATATTAACACTTTTTTTATATTAACGCTTTTTTTTATATTATCGTTTTTTTTTTACATTATCTACATTTTTTTTTTTTTACATTATGCCATTTTTTTTACATTATCGCTATACTTTTACGTATGTCTTTCATGATTTTTTTTTTATCGCCAATTTTATGAAAAAATGTCTTGTCCTGAACAGGTTAAATAACTGAGGTTTAAGTGAGTGAGAGTGAAAACCTGGAAACCGATCATAGTAAATCATTAAATCGGTTTCCAGGGTTTCACTCTTATGCACGCGGCAGGGTGGCTACAGCCAATCAGTGACAATCAAAACAATCAAAACAATCACGTAAAGCGAGATATTTAAGGCAATAAGCCTTATTGTCAGCTTATTGTCAGGATCATTATCAGGGTCGTAATAAGCATTATTTATACCAAAATTTAGCAAGGAAACTTTTTTGTTAGAGCGCAGAAAGCAGTTTTGTAAGCAAAATTTAGAGTTATTGGCAATTTTTTAAAAAACCTGATTTTCACGTTACACCTGATCCTGCTAAATTGCGTATAAATCACGTGTCAGCCCCTTTTTTTCTTTGAAAAGTTTTTTTTCAGTTCCACACTCCCTAAATCTAATGAGGCAGAGATAGGTGGGCGAGAACATTTTAGAAGGCTAGTATGCTTACGTTACCACGCTCTGGTGGCATCACAAAATATACCTACGCCTGTATGTGACCTGGCCATTTATTTGGACTCCTGCAGCCGATGTTTGGAAGGTGGACTTGCAGTGCCTACTAGGACTCATTACAGTTGTAATCCCCTTAGATAGATTCATTGCAAGGGAACTCTTTCCAGTATATTAGACTTAATGAGTTTCCTATGTCCGTATGTGACCTGGCCATTATATTGGACTCCTGCGGCCAATGTTTGGAAGGAGGACTTGTACGCCTACTAGGACTCATTACAGTTGTAATCCCCTTAGATAGATTCGTTGCAAGGGAACTCATTCCAGAAACTCATCTTTGTCAATGCCATTACCGTGATTTTCTTATAGTTAATGCATATATTACTATATTTCTTAGTAACTAAATTATTTTAACTTTTTTGTATAGATGGATATTTCAAGCGGAGTTTCTTCCTATTTCAATAACACAGAGATTGAAGCCTGGAGTTATATGGGTTGTCTAGAATATTTAGCGAAAGTGTGTGCGCATTTGACATCAGGAGATCATGACGAAATTCTTGACAAATACAAGAACCATTTATTTTCAATAACCTCATCTACGTCATCGCTTAAAAAGCAAAAGACAAAGCCCTAAGGATGGATGATCCTGCGAAACGTTCATTTCAATGCATAGAAGTTACCTCATTTTTTAAAAGACTTGATACGCAGGTATGTCAATTAATCACTGTTAAATTTGTATATATATTTATTAAGACCAACCTATTTGACAGGTTGACATGAATGCAACCGACAGTCTTGCATATGCCACCAAAAATCTCGTGAACGCAAAAGAAAATTATATGAATCGAAACTGAAGGCATGTGCGTATGACAGATTTGTCGAAAATACGGATATGAAAAATGATCGTTCATCAAAATGCCTTAGACAAGAAACAATAATTTCAGAAGAGGACGAAAAACAAGTATAGTATCTTTTATTATTTTCTTTGGTGAAATGTTTTGTTTAATAGTAAGCGTTAAGTTCTTCTCTTTCTAGCCTGACGCAAATACAGTATCCAAAGCAGATGACGATAATTTTGAAGGTATGTTAAAATAATGCAAATATGTAAAACATTGTGGATCCTTTATAAATAATTACATCAATTAAAGAGGAAAAGGACGACGATGAAGATCAAGATGCAGAAACGGTTGAAGAGGAATCATATTCATCCAACTATGTGTCATTTTCCCATATGTGCATCTTTTCTGAATCTTATTCGCAACAAGCATCAAGTGATTCGTCATCATTGTTATCTGTTTTAAAGAAATATTGCGCAAATAAATCCACCTCGCTATATGAGTAAGTTGTAATAGTGGATTCGTATTATTTCTCTGACAATCACTTCATAGACACTACATTTTACCTACAATATTCACCGACAAGTTCATTTTACCGACAGGTTATTTCACCAAAGCTCATTTCACCGACAAATTTTTTTTATAAATTGCACTAACTTTAACTCTAATTCTAACCTGACCCTAACGACAATAGCTAAAACTACTTTGTCTGTGAAATGAGCTTCGACGAAATAAACTGTCGTGAAATGGTGTCTATGAGTTGATTGGAACCGGTAATAGTTGGTCAATAATATCTTTTGACTACTGATTACTTTTTGTCTTTTTTTCTAGTCCGGCCCATAGCTTCATTGTGGATCTGTCGCTATCTTCAAAAATAAGAGGGCAATTTAGTAATGAGGAGTGGGCAAAATTGGTCAAAAGAAGACCTGATGTGGTTCAGAAATCATATTATCATGAAATCGAGTCCCTTATTTCTCACTTATTTGGCCAAAAAGTAAGGAAAAGTAAACTTTATCCCGTATTGACACCGCTGATTTTTTCTCTTATTTTAGATGGATCTATTACAAGCTCGCAAACAATGGTACGAACTGAGAAATTTGGTTGCTCCTAAATACAATCTTATACAGAGAATGACTGAGAAAAAGTAAAACGTTGGGTTGAATGAGTAACAGGACAATTGTACGTTATGGGTCTTTCATTATTTACAAATTTACTATGATGTGCTTAATTGGTTTTTGTTTTTTACCATTATAGCTTGGATGCATTTGAATCACTTCGAAATCCATTGCAAAATGATTGTCATGAACGAGAATGGACTGGTGATTATTTAATCCCTTAATTCTCTCTATTTATCGTGCGCATCCCTACGTCGCCGAAATAGTGATAAGGATATCCTAATTGAACAGATTGAACAGATTGATCGAAGCCACCAGGTCGATCTTTTATGCAATTATGAGCAGTATGATATTACATGTGCACTAGCTTGCGGTGAACCTTATTCCTATGATTTAACTAAACTTGCTTCTGACGAATTCAACCTTTCAAGAATAATGAAAGATATGCTCGATGACCTAGAGTTAAAGCTTCTTAAGGCTGGAAAGGATTAATTACGGCCATAATTATAGAAATTCAAGTATTCTTGCAGTGTGAAAATTATTTTGCTTCATGAATAGCTGTTGTACTTATACATTTCACTTGTATGGCTCAGTCATATATGACAGAGATTCGAGTCTATTTAATAGAGAGACGTGAGGTATACTTCCTGTATCACCTAAAATCTTTTAACCTCCCGCTCAAGTTTTCAACCTATTACTACTTGAAAGTTGCATTAAGAGTAGCATAGAATATTCGGATGAGTTTGATTTTTACCAACTTATGACATTGGAAATTTCTGTTTATTATTTTAATGGATAACCATAATTCCTTGGTCCGGGAACTTAAGAAGACTATTATCGATGACGATAATTATGAATTTAAAACTCACCCAATTGTGTTGTCAAATAATATGAAGACCACCGCAACACCACCAAAGTAACAGAAGAAAAAGAAAGCATAGATAGATGTGCAGTCATTATATTTTTGTTAACTATCATGACTTAGTTTTCTCAATGACCTATCAGTGAAATTTTCATGTTTTAGCAAAAAAACATATAATCTAAATTTTTTCTTGGCTATAAATATTCTGCAATACATCAATAAAAAAAAAATTTTTTTTAAATTATTACTTATTATTATTGCGAAAGTGATCTGTGTTACTTGTATCTAGAATTTTTTTCACGTGCAGTACGTACAGTACATACAATACAACATAGTATAGTTAATATATGTATTTTACTAAATAAGGTAGCTGCGCGACGCAATCACAGGAACCAAAGCAGATACAGTGGTTAACAAATAGTCCAAGTAACGTACAAGCACTGATCTAGCATCTCGTTAATATATTGTAATACATTTGATATACATTATAGGCAATTGACTAATCAAACAAAAGTTTACAAGGCATCATAAATGATCAGGTTATCTGGTTATCCGAAAATTATTTTGCTATTGCCTTTGACGATCAGCGATTATCATTCCTACGAAAAAAAAGTAAAAAATGCCAAATATCAGGTAAATACGTAAATTAATTTGCACCGGGTTATCAATTTTTGTCTAAAATTCTTGCCTTTACTATCATTAGTTATCGCAACTACGACATCGCTTACGTTTGTATTCAAATCCGAATGCACGTGCATATCCATTGATCTATATGCGTGATGAATTTATGTGTGAAAAATAACTGAAGTTTGATGAATAAACACGCAGACCAATCAAATCAAGATTTCGTGAACAAATTCCACTTCAAGCATCATATAATCCATACATTCATTACATTCGTTCTTTACATTCATTCCTGGTATATTTAATATAGCAATTAATGAATCAATTAGAGGATAGAAAGATTTATGGTTTAACTCAAAACATCACAACAAATGATATATGTTGGTATTTGGTGAACTTGGTCCTAAAATAAATAAAGATAATAGACATGTGCAAATTTCAAGTGATATAACATATCTTATGCGTGGTGTTAATTATAGACCTTCAGAAGACAATACAAAGATGGACAAGTAAAATAAGGATATTGACAATTGTATTAAAGAATTTCAACTTAAAGCTATAAAATATGAAGATGTAATTGAATGGATCCTTTTAATAGTTTAGTTAATGTTCAAAAGAATAGTGATAGATTTTTAGTGATGTGTTTAGATGGAATGCGTTATGTAAATTATAAATATGTTATAATAAATATGAATATTGTCGGGTTCGGAAGTTTGCGACTCGGTCGCTCCAAAATTCTAAACCTCGTGTAATGTACGACAAGTAACCTTTTCGAAAGAGGGTGTTAGATTTGGCTTGTG